ATATTGAGTGTGATGGAATTACCACGCCGAATTCAAGATAATACTGTGTCTCACTGTAAAACTGACCAAATTGTCACATAGAAGAGATAAAGAAACACATTCTGATAGAATTGGTCACCTATTCAGAAGACCGTACATTTTTTTTAAAATCATGAAGATATTGAAAGATCCAGAAAAAAAATCAGAAAATTCCTTCCTACGATTAATCTACATGACAGCAGATTTTTTTAGTTAGTTCAGCGGTTAATGGATTTGTTGAGAAGCTCTTAGATGGTGTTTACTATTTAGTTTCTCGGAATAATAAAAAAAAAGTTGATAAACTAATTAAGCTCTCGGAATCTTTGCCAAAAGCTGTGTGGACGAACGATGTCTCGTGATGATTGACGTTTTAATTCGATCAGTTCCAACGACGTATCTGGGGTTGCCCATTTTGTTGCCAAATAAACACGTTCATTGACGTAAATGGTCACCTTGCGTGCTCCTACCAACTTTCTGCGTTCTTTGTTCAGTGCAGCGATGTCGAGAACTGTTTCTTGGTATTCAGCAATTTCAACGTCTCTTAATTTTGCTGACCGACGAATGAACGGCATCAAATGGTCTGAATCGGTGATGAAAAGCTGCTCCAGATTGATGAGACTGGTGGCCATGGCATCCGTGATGATGTCTATACCAACGCAAGTGATACCAAGCTCTTTGATGCTGGGCAAAACGGGAAACTTAAGATTTCGTTTTTCGTACGGACCAATGTACAGTGTAACGAGTCCGGGCAACGAAAGTAATTGATCAGCTGAAGGCACGTTGCTTTCAGATCTAAAATGCAATCTTTTGAAGAAGCCTTTCTCATGAAGGTCATTCAAGAAACCAATGGTGGTATCGATGTCTTTGTTCATATCAATGGCCAAGTCATCAACGTTGGCATCGCAGATCAAATCTCGACTATCCCATAGCACATTTGCATCGATTTGAAGGCTTTGGAGATTTGGGCAATTGTCGAGAAAATTCTTCAATTTCCCGCTTTCCAATGAGTCTTTCGTACGCAATTCCAAGTGTTCGAGTTTTGGATGTTTTTGAACTAGCCAAGCAAATAAACCACGAGAACAATCCCAAAATCTTAGTCGCTTCAAGTTCTTGCACGATTCAAAAAGCGTTCGCCAAATGTCTTCATCAAATTTGCAGCACCGTAGTTCCAAGCTGTCGATTTTTTCCAAACGTTTCTCGATTGCCTTGATGTCCTGATTAAGATCAATATGGGAAAAAATGAGCCGCTTGATTTCGGCTTTGCAGTTGGTTTCAATGTAACCAAACGCTGAATTGAGTGTTACCATCCAGAACCAAATTTGTTGGACAAACTCTTTGAAACCATTCATTCTTCTGCCATTGAAGTAAATGCCATCTTCGTCGCAAAGAGCTAAAGCACTCACGTATTTCCATTGAAAATATTGGCCGGTGACACGGTGAAAAGCCTTGCACGTTTGACCAAACGAGTGCTCATCCTCCAACGACAGGCAATCGAGTACTTCGTCCCAGCAATCGATGTCCAATTTGAAGACCGACGGTTGAGGCTCGCCATTCGGAGCAATTGCTTCTGCTGCAACCACTTGATTTTGGTTCTGCTCGACGGCTTGCATTTGGTTTTTGTCATCAACGTCTTGTTGGCTCATTTTGAGATTGCCACTTCAGTTTTGTTGTGTGCGAGCAACAATTGGGGATCTTTCTTCAGTCTTGAGAATTACTTGGTCTTCCGGAAAAACTCAAAGCTCGTACTTTTATTCAGGATTTTCTCACCTCTATCTCCTCAAAGTCTATCGAGAGAAAAATAAACAAAAATGATTGTAATTAGTAAATTTCTGTGGTGACGGCCCCCTTACACAACTGTTTATCGCAGATATTTTCAACTTTAATTTTAATGTTCCAACTGTTCCAGAATATTTCTGCCTGTGATCAATCAAATGCATACCCTTAATACCAACGGCTCGGTTGCCTTGCGTATGTTGCTTCAGCAACGATAATTTGTCACACGTTCAGCGTCTTATGATTTCAGTAATTTTGAACTTGGATGATTACACATTTCCAGCCCATTTCTTTCCAAATCCGTTGACGAAAAAAAGACAATTGCGTTGAGGTGATGAACTTTCCATTTTGATCAGAAAACAAAACATGTAGAAAAAACGCAAAAAATTAGAGAATGATTGTCAAACTATCAGGTTGTATTCGAGGCCGATAAAATGTGCGGGTGAATTGGTGTTCACTGTTCAGATATATACTTGCAACAAAAACATGTGTTTGTCAATAAAACTGACTGGACAATTTTTGCAATGAACGATAGTATTATCAAAATCCAATAGAAATTAATTCGATAAAAGAATTTTTTGCAAGAAACACTTGTCATTTCTCATTTGGCTGCCAATTTTCAGCATGAAAATCATTGGCTTTGCAATGTTACTGACAACTGACGGTATATTTTCCACGTTTTCTGATGAGATCTATAAACACATTCAATTCTTCTTGCTAAAATTCGCAACCTCATTTGATATTTAATCACAACCTTGTACATTTTGTTATAAATTTGCATCGAATGAAAAGCGTGACAAAGGAACATTCAGTACTGAATTGATGCAAAATTGGTTTGGTATGAAAATTAAGTACGTAGGTTGCTGCTTAAGTTTCTGGCCTAACCTAGTTCTAGTGTTTTCCGAAGCAAAACTTTGGGTCAGTCAAAAAGTTTGACCTTTTTTAAGCTAAGTTTGCTCAGACGTCAACTGTTGATTCACTACGGATCGTGGTGTTTTATGAGCTTGAATATTTCAATTTGATGAAAAAATTGAATTTTTCCGCAAACATTTTAGTGCAATGATTTTTTCCGATTTTTGAGAGGGACTAACTCAACAAGAGTGCCGTGATAGCCTCAAATTCGCTTTGGGTGATAAAACTCGGTCCATTCCAAGTATTTAGAGGTGATATAACGATTTTAAATGTTGACGAAGCTCACTCAAAAATGAGTCCGCAGGAAAGTCGTAAAATATCAGCTGTAACGCCGGAACACATTGATGCTGTGCGAAACCTAAAGGTGGAATATTCTCATACTGTTAAAAAAATGTATGAACCGCATACGCTAACGTATAGTATGCTA